ATGAAAAATATAAGAAACAAAAAAGAAATAACGTAAGGTTTGGATCTTTTTTTTTTTTTTCTAACATATACAAACAAATGATTAATGTCCCCAAATTCCTATGAAACATAAACCTAAATAAATCCAAAAAAGCCGGCCATTGGAATAAAATTTTAGACTTCGCAGCCCACAAAATCAGTCAAACAATCCCCCACAACAAACGGTCGCCTGTCATCACCACACATCAATTGTTTGCTATCCCCAAAAAAAAAAAAAAAGAAACCCAAAATTAAGAATACCAAATTTGAAAAACATTTAATAAAATGAAATATATTCAACAATATCATATGAGAAGGGCATTAGGAGCCTGATTAGAACCTCCATTTTCATGGACTAAGAGGGCTCCTAAGGCCATTCTATCATCATCATCATTTCATCATCAATCTTGATTTCATTGAAGAATGACTCAGCTTAGCCGTCAAAAGTTTCACTTCAACATGAAAAAAGCGATTCTGTGGCGAATCGCCGTCCTTAAGCAGTGTCTCAAGTCATTTTGGAACCAGTTTCTTGCTTGTTGGATAGGAAAATCTGTCAGGTATAGACATTTGCAGCAGAAGATGATCAGTTCTGCACCTCATTCAGGTGTCATTGGTAGTGGCTTTTCTTCCAAAATCATGGGTTCACCTTCCCCAGATATTGATAAAGATTCATCTGATTTAGTTACTTTGAAGATTAGTCTCTGGGGTGATTGTCAAATTGGCAAAACAAGTTTTCTGGCAAGTCTTGAATCTTGGTCATTTGAGCTGATTTTTTTTTTGTATACATTTTCTGCTTTAGCATTGTGGTTGATGCCTATAATTCTTTTAGGATCAAAGTTTTTTAGATTTTTTGTAATCAACTCTTGATGCCATTTTCTTTCTGTTCTTGATCAAAGGCAAAGTATGTCGGAAGAGATAATGGAGTAGTCGTCTCTGCAATTCCAGGGATAAATCAAATGGACAAAACTTTATCAGTTAAAGGGGCTCGGATTTCTTACAGTATCTGGGAAGTAAGAGGTATGCATTTTCCATGATTTCACTTTCCTGGGCTTTTGTTCCTTTTTTCAACCTGAATTAGTAGTGAAAGATCTGTCTTGATGTTCCGTTTTTGGCAAATTTGATCAACAATGCAGGCGACAATACTTCTCATGATCACATTCCAGTTGCTTGTAAAGATTCTGTAGCCATGATTTTCATGTTTGATCTCACAAGCCGGTGCACATTGAATAGGTATAAATATCTAGCAATTTCACTTTCAAATTGCACCAGACATTAAATAGTTATATATGTGTTCCCTTTTTTTTTTCTTTCCTTTTCTGACACAAATATATGATTCTTGCTGTAATTGCAGCGTGATCAGATGGTATAAGCAAGCCAGAAAATGGAATCAGGTAAAGATACTTGCTTAACAACAATGTTTCAAATTATTCCTTTCTTGATTTTTAGTGCCCAGTCTCGATCCCCACTTTTTCTGTATCCTGCTTTCTCTCTTTTTTTTTTTTCTTGACCTTTTTTCAGTCTATAATTCATCTGTTCTTCACAAAGCAAGGGAACGTTTTTTGTTCATATGATCTTTTGGTTATGCAGACAGCCATTCCAGTGATGGTTGGAACAAAGTTCGATGATTTTATCCAATTACCAATAGACATTCAATGGACAATTGCAAGTGAGGTAATCATGTAATTAAATTTTCAATAAAATCTTTGTGATCTGCCTAATATTGATGATCATCAAGAAGAATTCATATTCATTAATCTCCACAAACATAGACAAGCGAACCATAGAATATACCAAATGCAGCCTTGTTCTAGAATACCTAGGTCCTTTCAATTTCCTTGATACATGTTTTATTTTAATCTTTTTAGTGACAAAGAGAGAAGCAAGGAGGTTGCCTAGTCAATTCCAATGATAAAACCCACTTGACTTTGCAATGGAAATCATTGTACTCCACAACTTATATCATCCAGTGAATTTTACGTGGATTGATATTTTCCACTTGTTGTCACTCTCAGTCACCATCAGGCATACATGTACATGTAAAAACAAATTAGAAATCACATGAGATTACCTCTAGTGTAATCATGCACTAAAGTTGTTTAAAAGCATAAAATGATGATAAGTACACTAATCGGATATAATTTACGTCAAGAATCTTATTTTTTTTTTCATCTTAAACTAAGGTTCGATTTCTTATTTCCTTAATCATATATGAAATGAGGGTTCAATTTTGGCCTCCCGATTTGTATATAAACCCTTAGACGCTCACAAATTTTGCTTCTTTTTTTTGTTTGAGCAGGCAAGGAAATATGCAAAGGCACTCAATGCAACCCTTTTCTTTTCAAGTGCAACTTACAACATAAATGTGAATAAAATCTTCAAGTTCATTACGGCCAAGCTGTTCAATTTACCATGGACTTTGGAGCGCAATCTCACCATTGGAGAACCTATGATTGATTTCTAGAGGTTCTTCCCCTTTTTTTTTCCCCCCTTACTCTCAACCGGTCACTGGTTCTGTCACAATGATACTGCAACCAGTGAAAATTCGCGTTGTTTACTTCCCCATGAAAGTCATGGGAGGAGTTTTGTAGCCTTTTTTGTGCTCCAAGCTTTGTTTTTTGTGAATGCTTTTCTTTAATTTTCAAAGCAAAAGATAAGGCCAAAAGCCACCTTGTTCGTTGTTTACTTTGTTTTGGTTATGATGGGGCTTGATCTCAGCAATTAACAAGGACATGAATCAAGCAATAGATTTGTGCCCTTAACTAGTCCAATATTGTGATGATGGCACTTGATATTTGGTCATGGATTGAATATCATGCCCTTGGATTTTCTATGATTTTGTCCACAAAAAAAGAAAAAAAATGGTTACAGGTTCAAAAACACGTAAAGTCATCAGGGAGATTGTATGATTCTGTCAAAGCCTCAAAAGAATAATTGTATCCGTTATTGATTGTTCCATTTTAGGTGAAGAGTCAAAATCCGGATCCCCTTTTGGAAGGTCTTTTCGTTAAATTTTAGCTTTATATGTGTAATCCGGCTCATATTCTAACACGTACCCAAATCAAATCTTAAAAAAGACCCCACTAAGACTTGAAATAGCAACAATTTCTTAGGAGGAAATGGTTTCACACACCTAAAAGGACTAAACCTAGTCAGAACATTATATTGTATAATACCATAAATTTTGAACTTTCTTCAAGAAATTGCTAAGCATCGTTCAACATGAGTTTATCAGTATCGGTTTAAGAAAATCAAATCTACCATCATCACATCCAAGTTCTAACAACAAGATTACCAAAAATTTTGCCTTTTGGTTGTTGATCATTCTTTTAGGACTTCAACATGATGCAGCTTGATTTCTGATCGACTGAGGAATCTATCAATTTTGCTTCAGTGATGATTAGAGTTTTTTTCCCCCTTCTTGCCTATAAAGAGTAAGTTTTGACATTTATTAATAGCAGAAAAGGCACATCTACAAGTAGAAATCAAACAAAGAGGCCTTTGTATTTAGAAGGTTCCATTCAGAATTTTGATAGTAATTTTCTTCACATGAATTTTTGGTGTTTTGCTTAGTTTAAGTATGTGTTTGTAAATAAAGCCGGTTATGTTGACGTTAAAGTCGTTTTAAATTCTTAATGACTTAAATTTCTTTTTGGTTCGAATTTGGCTTGATAATTATCTAAAGGGTATGTCCAACGGTGTCCGTTTGACATTTATTAAGATGCGTTTCGAGTGTGAGATTTTTTTTTGAAAGATAAAATTAATTTAAACAAGTATTTAAATGTAAGGGAGAGCATTCTTTATTAGTGTGTGGATATATATATATAGCAAATTAAGTAAATTTAGCGTGTTAATAACTATTAAATGGACAGTCTATTAGAAAAACCCATTTTTGAATTTTGTCAAGTCAAATCTGAATGGACATATGAATGACATTGGAAGCCTACATTCACGGAACAAAAAAAAAAAAAAAAGACCTAGGCTTTACCAGATCCATTTGTCAAAGTCAAGATTCCTCATATATGTTTTTTCTTCAAATATGTAATTTCTTAGGTCAATTTTTGTCAGACTTGTAATTTCTCGTATCTGTTTTGTCAAATTTAAAATTTTCATTGGAACTTGAATTAGTTACATATTAGATATGGCTGGTGAAAACATTCATATAAATTGTTCATTCGGGGTTGAGGAAATATATCATTTGAAGACATCATGGAATTTCAAAAGTTTTATTTTTGTTGTTTTTTTTTTCTCTATTAGAGAAAAAAAAATTCCTTCTCTGATTGTATGTTCTAATGCATTTGCTTTCAAAAATCCAAAATGGTAACCTGTAGAGAATCGACACGGCCTCTTAAGGCTTTGTATAATGTCATTGGATCCGAATATCAACATGTACAGAAGCCCAAGTAATTTCTGGTGTTGAGCCCACTATAGTTTGATTTATGTTGGGCCCAAACTACCTTACAAAACTTTCAATTAAATTTTGGTATCTTCCCATTTTCCATAAATCTGACTTTTTTAGTTTACCACTTTAGGAAACTACTTAAAAACATTGGTTGCATATTAATCTCTTTCCTAACATTATTGATCACTCTAAAACTTTGATACTATTATATACACCTATATAAATCAAGTATTGAACTAATTATATAAATATATACATGTGAGTAACATTATTGATCGCCCTAGAATTTTAATATTATTATATATACGTATATAAATCAAGTACGAATCAATTATATAAATAATTAATCTTTTATATACTAACAGTGTATACACTTTTTTTTTTATATGTATAACACATGCAAAATTTGTATTTCAATCGTGATAGTGTATACGCTGTCAGCACATATAAAATTAACTATATACATGTGTATGGATACACACACACATATATGCCTTACAAAACTTGCAATTAAGTTTTGGTATCTTCCATTTTCCATAAATCTCACTTTATCAGTTTCTCACTCTAGGAAGCTACTTAGAAACATTGGTTGCATATCAATCCATTTCCTAACATGATGATCACCCTAGAACTTTAAATATGCATCCAAAATGTCATGTGCTAAACCAAAGAAAGTTCTCTCACAAGTATTTCTAGCAAGCTTCTTTGATTGCTAATTTCTCTAAGCAGATATGAGTTCTTCACCTCCGATCCCACCAGATACAGTAATTACTGTATCACCAGGACCAGCCCCAAAAGACCCCTGTTTGGATAGATGCGTTGTAATAGGATTTTTAAGCATTATATTCCTGGCTTTTGCAATTGTTATAACTGTGGCACTAGTTTTCTTTACTGATGCCAAAGATCCCCAGTTTCAAGTTGACTCCATCATGGTTTCTCCTCTCAACTTATCCAGCAATGTTGATGGAACAAGATCACATTGGAGCATTGGAATCCTGGTGAGAAATCCAACTAAATTCTACCATCTCGAGTACCAAAAATTCTACGTTTTGGTTTTGTACAATAAAACCGAGTTTGTAACTGGAAAATCTGTTGAACCTTTTCATCAAAGAGCCAAGAACAAGACCAAAATTCTTGTTCAGACAGAAGCAGCATTGTTGGATGGAGTTGATAGAGAGGGAGGAGTTGTCGGTTTCGATTTGAAGCTCCTGGTGAACTCAATCTACTTAATCAGCCAAAATAGACGACAATATTCTTGGTTCGATGTTCTTTGCAGCAATTTGATGTTTGAATTCTCTTCGCATGCACCCAATGGAACAATGGTGGGAGGAGCAAAGCAGTGTTCCATCAATTGAGGCTAATGCTAGCTCGAGATTTTTCTGGTCATCCATGGAACAAGCCAAATTAAATTTCTTGAGGAGCTTTGATTATTTGAAGTCAGTAGATTTTTTTTTTTTAGGGTAGTTTGCTCAATGTCTTGGTAACAAACTTATCAATTTCTCATGCTTATTTAAAAAAAAAAAATTGTTAAAAGTCATCTGGATGTAGCCAAATTCTGTCTTTTGACATATATCTAAACACGCTAATGTACACACTGATAATGCCTGCGAAAATTTGGGTGTATCAGTTTTAGAGTCCTGAACCCTTCAAAATCTTCAGTTTTAGTTAGAGTCCGAAGAAAGATGGTTACATTATCATCTTCACCAAATAGAACGAAGGATTCTATGACACATTCCTCAATATTTTGTTCACATAACCTAAACCTCTAGTAATTCAGCTACGCTTCAAGTGCATAGGTTAAACCCTAGTTTCATCAAGTAAGCCTAGCAGATTAGGCTAGCTTTGCATGCTATCTGACTTGTTAAAGAAACACAACATTCATTCATGATGTGGGCGCACACATTTTCTACCTGATATATCAAAGTCTTGCTGATTAGGCCCCAAACACCGAAAAACATATAATGCCTGGCCATTTATGCTATTGGACTTAGTACTCGTGTATAGAGAAGAACATCCAATCATGACACGACAAAGACAGTACTCATGTATTGAATCACGTAAAGCTTGCCCAAACAACATGATATGCAAGCCCTATGAAGAAAGGAATTCAAACATATAAAAGCTCAGCCATTTTATAGAGTACTCAGCAAAATAAAAGTCGCAACAAGTTCATCCAAAACTCTAGCGGCAATAAAATGACAAAATGCACCCATTTTCGCGAGGGAAATTACAGGGATCGCACAACATATGATATTCAAATTAGCAATGTAACAAAGTTCTTATGATAACTGAAGATATTCCTAGCATATTGTTCAAAGTTACTGACAAAAACCATTTTATTTCCATCTTTTTTTGGATAGTGGCCAGACTAGTGATGGTTCTGGATAAGCTACACCTAATCATTTGACAAAGAGACTGATAAGTAGCACAAAAGAAACTTTTTGATAGAATTTTTACTCAAGTTTCACTTCTCTTTGGGGAGGTTCAAATTCCAAGTAGTAGAATGGCTCAGTAGGTTCTTCCCTGCACATTAGGCAAACATGTTAGTTGTCCAACGTATAGTAAGGATATAATCTTCTGGCCATATAGCAGACAAAAGACTACATATCAAGGCACAACACATTTGCCAAACCTAGGCTCTTTAATAACATTAAATATTACTCAATACATCCAAACAAAATTCCAACGATAGTTATGCATATGCACTCAATCCATAGCATTTTATGTTAGGCCTAAGATAGACAGTCTCCAATTATTTCAGAACTTTGACCACTTTAGCTACAAAGCAGTCAAGATCAAACTCACCCAGGTTTGGAACGCATGCACTGCCAGAATAGCTTGAAAGGCCCTGGAACCGTTTTAAAAGGATTACCTTCAAAGCATGCCTGCAACATTCAAATGTGGAAAACTCCAAATTAGAAATAGTATAATATGCACTTAACTCAATCCCTTGCAAAAAAAAAAGAATTTGTTACAGTGTCTGCCTAAAGTAATAAAAAGAACTGAAATGCAAACAAAAGACGTGCAAGTAGAAATAAGACATGACCAATCAAGTTCGTCAAGCACCAAAATAAAAAAGGCGGGAGGGGGGGGGTGGTGTTGCCAAGCAAAACTAGTGCATTTATTTAGCTGGAATCCGTAATGTAATATGACCTCAAATATGGAATAAAAGGAAGCCATAATTGTAGTGCAGCCAGAAAAGTCAACAACTTGCTTTCATCTCCTGAATAACACAACTAATAAGAGAAAAAATTCATTTTTGTCTCTAGGGATTAGTGATGGATCAGGAAAAGATCTTTTCAGATCAACATCAATGGACAAATTTCCAACAAGTTATTTGTCATATGGACAAAAGAAAAGCTTGTTTACAAGAGGTCCAAAGGACCTTACATCCACGTTATTCTCTCCCTTGCCAAAGAAGATGCAAAGCAATTTAATCATTCTAAGTTTGTTAGGATAAACTAGAAAAGAACTTATTGACTATGTTTAATATAGCCAGCTGCTATAACTTATCCTTTATGCTGCAATTGAGGCCACCTTAAAGGTGAAATTCACAAAATCATAGTTGACCCATATAGAACATTAAGAGAGGCTAAAATACCTGTATAACTCCTTTTACTCTTCACATCAGCAGAGTTCTTTGCTTTTCAACAGATAAGAGCAGTTTCAAGTGCATGGCTAATTCAATACATTATAGAACAATAAGAAAAAACATAGCAAGGACTAGCATATCATCTCTATTCATCTACTGTCAAAGCCAACATTGAGAATAACAAATTAATCTGGTAAACTTGATTGATTGATTTGCAAATGCCACTAGTCATCAGATTTATCATCACTCTCAGAATTTTTTTGGGTGGTTAAAAGCTGAAAATCATGTGGTTTGTACGTTCCAGCATGCCAAGGAAATTTCCAACATTTGTCAAAGGATCTTATTTTGCAAATAAGGTATCTACTAAATGCTATCTTTTTCAGATATTTCATTTCTGGATTTACCAAAGCTTTTATTTCTGCAATCATTAATACTCAATAATTTACACAAGCAGAAAAATATAGTTTACAACTAAGCCTCCCTTAGCATAGTTCCAGTTCAAACTAAAACAAAAAAAATTTCAACCATCTTGTTGACGTTCTAAAATGTACAAAGTAGACTCATGAGTCTCAAAATCATCATGAAAGTGAAGTTTCTTCTGCTTGTGAAATTGGTACTTAAGCTTAAGATACAAACAGGCCAAGTAAAAAAAAGAGGACAATATGCTTTTAGTTTATGGGGAAAAAGAATTAAGGCAGAACAATACCAAAGGGTGATAAACTTGAAAACTCTGCAACAAAAAAAATGTTAAGAACATGATAACTTCATGAGTTCTCTCTTTCTTCAAGTACAGAATTAAGGCTGCAGAAAACGGCATCCACTGCCAACTTTATGTTATTGTAAAGTTTTAAAGCCCAGCAGAAGTTGATGCATAAACTGATTAACCACATGTACAAACATTATAAGAAAACCCAAAGTTCACAGTCCCCGCCTGGATAAGCCAGTCACCCAAAATAATGTAATGGACTGTTTTACGCTCATGTAACGGACTGATATCACACTTCAAGGATTAGTTAACCATTAATGGTTCATCAGGCACGAAGTTATTTACTGACAATCAATTATTTTATTGAATTTTCATTAACTACAATCAAATCGTAGTCTCTCAAATTCTCTCTGTTACAATCTGCAGCATCTTATTCTTCTTCTTCTTCTTCTGCTGTCCAACTCTTTCTTTTCTTTTTGTAAAAGCTCTCTCTCTCCCCACCCCCCCTCTTGTCTGCAATTTCTCTTGCTTTCCTCTCAATCTTGTCAATAGTTTATTTTGCAGATTTCTGTATTACAACAATGATTTTGCCTTTTAATGCTTCAAAGAGCATGTTCAGTCATTGTGTGCCTTGAAAAAGATTTCAGAGAGAGCTACCAGACATTTTTACTGTAAATTGAACTCAAAGGACAAAAGCTTCAGGTAGAAATAAAGTTGACCTCTATATATATTTTTTCTTTATTTTTTACAAGAGTAAAGACATAGTGGAATAGAGAAAGGATGAAGGAATAATAGACTCTATGTCTGAGACAAGAATTAAAAGCACTTTGACCACTGGGATTCAATCCCCTCCTTCTTCTCCCTTTCAAGAAATACATGCTTCTGATAGTACATAGAATATACTTCTCCAAATGTGTATTCTCCCTTCCTGCCAAATGCAAGCTTTCTTCTAATTCACTAGTATCAAAGTGCCGGAAGTCAGTGTCCACTGCTTGTAAAAATTACTGATAGAACTATGGATATTGACTAGGCAAAGCAACTACCAACCATCACTTCAACTTATGATGTATCCTCCCTTCATAAAACTCTAAAAGGGTGGGGTGGGAAGGGAACTCCATGGAAAGAATAAAAAGGAAAGAAGAAAAATCAAACTCAACGCAAAGGTTGAGTGATTCTCTTCCAAACAAGCTTCAGACCTGCAAGAGTTTACCAATTTTAACATTCCTCTTAGCTGAGCTTATTTGAAGATCGTGATCACTATCATGCTATCCTTAAACTTTATTCTTCATTCCAAACATCACAAGTAAGGAAGCCAACTATTACAAATAAGTTCAGAGAAACAAAATGCGTAACTTAAAATGTCAAATTTCATCCCTCTATTAGATTTGCCTTCAAAGGGAAAAATCATGAACCTTTATGTGAATCCAACATTGACATCAAGAGATGGCACAGAGACAACAATTCAGGAAGCCTCCAAACAATGCGAAGATCCTGTATTGGAGGCTAGTGATAACAAAAATGAACAGGTCATATATCCCTCGTCGACAAAGAACTGATAATGTGTCTACGCTAAAAACCTGGGTCTCAACAAGCCAAGACAAACAAGAGCCCTCATAAACAAGCAGATCAAATCCTCGCATCAGTGCTCAAATCATCTACCTTGCCTTACAACAATAAAACTGTAACAATGCAAGAAAGAAAGAAATATTCCTACTTTATTACCTTCAAGTACTCATGAAACCAAAAATATTCCACCAATTTTAGTTCTTGAAGGTCACATACAAATATCTAAAATTCTCAGAATCTTTCTTTTCTCCAATTTCTGAATCAAATTCGAAGTCCATGTCAAATATCTCAATCAAATGTTAACAAGCATCAGTCACGTCAAGTTCCAGTTTTTACATTTTCTGTTATGCCCAACTCCATGCTCCTGATACTCAATAATGTCATCTCTTTTCCTTACACAATTATATCTACATATTAGATAAACAATTCAAAATGCAACCAAAACCCAACAATTTAATCTCAACATTAGCATTGAAAATGAAAGTACTGTAAATTTTCTTGACAAATTCTTAAACCCAAAGCACAGTAGACCCACCAAAACAAAAATTAACTTAAAAAGATAAGAAATTTACTAAAAGCAAGTAAAACCCATTAATCATAGCACATCCCACAGATGTTCAAGAAGGGCTTAAGCAAAGTAAAAAGATTTTGAAAAAAAAGGGTTCAAGGAAAGTTACTTGGATAACATCTTCAGCACGGTCATTGCATCTATGGGGCTTTGGTTGTCTGTGGTCACCCTCAGGCATTCCCCATGGACTTTCTCTTCTTGGTACTGGCCTTTCACTCATCTTCTTGCTCTTCTTCTCCTTGTTCTTCTGCTCAATTGAAGCTACAACCTACAGTGTATGCATCTCTTTCATTTGGGAATGAATTTCAATCTTTCGATATTGCTCCATTTGGTCCCTATATTTTACCAAGCCTGGGCAGTTTCATCCCTATTGTTTCTGAAAGAAGAAGATGTGTTTGGGCAAAATTGTAAAAATAAAATATCAGCGGTCTTTTGCTATTGTTTTCTTCTCGTTTGCTATTGTTTTCCATGGTCTTTTTATTTTGGTTCTCTTCTCCCCTTGCGTTTTGCAGATGGCCTTTAATATGCACATCAAGTTTTTATCTTATAAGCTCCTTCCGGGTGGCAGTTAAGCACATTATCTTTCGATAATTAGCTTATTAAGTATAGAAAAAGTTTTTGTTTAACCTTAAAATCTTGGCTGATTTGAAGGGTATCTTGTGACTTCTAATTATCATGAAACTCATAAGATCGTATGTTATGAGATCAATATTCAATGGTGCATATTGTAGTTCATGTATTGAATGTAATTTATAAATTATTTGTTAAAAAATTTTTAATTTCTATTTTTTGTCTCAATTTTTAAAAAAGAGAGCTCTCTTTTTTGTTTTTATCTTTCCTTTGTTTTTCTTTTAATATGTAGTTTTAGATATTTTATGTGTTTTAGGCATTCTTTAATTTTCTAAAAATTTTATTGTGTTCTTGTGCTCACTGATTTTCATCTAAGTCCATAAATTATATTTATAATTTGTCCCCTAACTTTTGCATAATTATGCTAGGGCCTCAACATTTGCAAAAAATGGATATAATTTCTCATTTTTGGAGTCCTGGCCTTTCTTTATGATGTTAATAATGTGTATTTTGGTGAATTAATTCTGACTTTTCAGGTATAATTAGGGGTTTAAGTAAATTTATTAAGTTTAGGATTTTAATTTAAGCCTACTTATGAAACTAGTACGAATACTCTTTTGTTTGTAGATTTGTAAATCACTTTGGTAGTCTAATTAGCCTAAATTTGAGCAGATTGTGAATAAAAAGTTAGTAAAAAAAGGTACTGTTTTGTGCAGTATTTGGCCTCATCACATGGTCTTTGTCAGGCGCTTAAGAAAGGCTGACAAAGGCCCCTGCCAGTTTTTTTTTTTTTTTTTTGTTGACTGAGCACGGCTGGAGACAGGTTTATTTAAAAAAATAAATTTTTGCACCGCTGACCGCACTAAAATTTCAGAGGTTCTGACCTTGTGCAGAATTCATTCTGCAGATATAGAATGAGAAATAGGGTGTGTTAGAGATACATTCGTGTGATGTTTTTTTTTTTTCCGCCTATATTTTAAGCAATTAGCCCAATTTCACGAAGCATTGGTCTTTTTTTTCAGTTGAATTTTTTTTTTCATTTTTATAGATGAGTCTACATGTAGTTCCCATATGGCCCCCGATTTTTGCACAGGAAACATCAAACTGGATGGTGCCACAGCAAATGTATTTGATTAGACAACAAATAAAATTTGAAGGACTACATTGGTGAAAAAATCATTAAAAATGAAATTAGTTTTACTAAAAAATTTTAAGGAAGAAAATGAGGAAATTCCCTTTTGTAAATGTTAGCCCCTACCTGTCAATGTTGATTCTTCCCATTACTAAATTTCAAAATTTTTCCTATTTCTTATCCAAGCTAGTCTAGTGTATCCATGTCTGGTAGAATAGCATTTATTTCTTTCTTTTATTCAATAGTTTAATCAATAGATCCGATTAGACATTTTCTGCTTACTGCATGAGCAATAGCATATGTTCAATCCTCTACCAATATTTGTCTATGGTCCAAATTGAAGCTCTTCAAATTTCAGAGGTAAGTTATGTCATTTTAAACAAATTTTCTTGTTACAATTAATTATTAAATTAAGTACAATCAAGTTGGTCTAGTACACCCCATTGAAATGCTTAACCTTCCTCCTTCATATCCCTTTCCATTATCAAAGTCAACCATCTAACGATCTCCAATCAAGAAACTAGAAGAAAGATCATTCGATGCTCAGAACCCTTTATTCAATTACCCTTTGCTAACAAATTAAACAACAAGAAGCAATATGGGAGCACCTCTAAGGATCATAGATTCTGCACTTTTCATCTACTTCCTCATTATAGCAATTGCGGTTCCACTTATTGATGGCCAAACAATTCTTCCTATAGACCTATATCCCAAGTTCTTGATCGAGTTAAAGAGCTGGTTCTTCAAACAAATTGACCACTATCTGGTTTTTGAGATGCCTTATTTCTATGTTGGAATTGCATGGTTTGAGCTTCTCTTCCAGTGGCCGGTAGCTTTGATGTGTGCTTATGGCATTGCAGCTGGAAAATCTTGGTTCAGTACTACGTCTCTTATTTATGGTTCCTCCTTTTTGACTAGCCTGGTATGCTTCTGCTGATCAAAACATGATTCCCCTTTTATATTTAGTTAATTATTCCCTCTTTTTACCAGTAATAATGTTTTGTTGTTAATGGCGGTGATCTGATAATTATGTAAGCCATCAACTCCCATCAAAAAGTTGGAAAAGTGGATTGCCTAGAATGAACCAAAAAGTAACCCAAAAAAAAAGGGACAAGAAGAAAAAAGAAGAGCAAAATGGAAGAAAGCATCTCACGTGATTTGCACGTGGAAGGCCAAAGAACATCAAATTTCACCCCCTTCTCACTTTATATATAAGTTCTTTATAGTATAATACTGCAAAGTTAATAATGTTTTGTTGTTATGAGAAATTACTTTCTATGTAGATAACATAACTACTGTTTCTTTCTTTCTTTTTTTTTAGGGATAATTTCGGAAATCTCCCCTTTGGTTTCTGATTATTTCACTACCATCTCTTGAAGTTTTGAAAATATTACTAACCTCTCTTGAAACTTATATTCTTGTAACAATTTACCCCAATTCAAAAAAAATAAAAAAAGTAATTTTAGGTGTGAGAAGATCATTTGATTCCAAAAGTGCCCTTCACCTATAATAATAGTAATTAATTTAATTATTTGATCTAACTTATTATTTCACTTATGGGGTCGTTATTACACATGATTAATACAAAAAAAATTTCATCATTTGCAACCAAAAAGTAACAACTTTCGAAATTTAACAACACAACTTTTATTCTTACCTTAAGATTCTTGTTATCACCATGGAACTGAAGTCTCATCACATCCAATTTCTTTTAATTGTCAAGTGTATTGCAAAGTAGCCTAGTATTGGAGTCATTTTCTATTTCCAAATTAAGTTTTCTAATATTATCAAATTATGGTTAATTTAGCTTGTAAATGGCTTAATTATTTTTCATTTTTGAATCCTTTGATTTATCAGGTACATCATATATAATTCCTTTTATCTATCAAGTACATTAATAGACAAAGTGCACCTAGTATTAATTCCCTTTTATATAGCAAATTAGTTGTTTTTTAAATTCCAAATTATGGTTAATTTAATTAGTAAATGTGTTGATTATTTCTCTCCACAAGTATGTGTAAAATATCTTAAGGTATAAGGATATTAGAGTCATTTCACGATAATAATGTGAGCATTGGGTCCCATATTAACGATAGGGGAGGTAAATGATATTTTCAAAACTTTAAAGAAAGGTAAATGATTACTGTTACAAGCTTGTTTTCAGTATCACATTGGCTTGTGGTACCACGTCTTTTATGTAATGTTGTTGACTACTTATTGCTACGATGATAAAATTAGAATCAGTATTATGTTTTTTATGTATGAAGCAGCAAAGGTTTCCTGATATCTTTCAAGCATTTACAGGCTGCAATACTAGCAGAATTGATAGGGTCAAAGAGAGCATCAGATAAGCTGATAAGGTTTTACTACCCATTCTTGGTTTTTGCTGTTCTTTCCTTTGCACGCGGTCTGCTACCATATTCTGGCACATCTGCATCAATTGGCAAAACAGCTGGGCTGAACCAGAAGAAGCAGGCTTAGATTCATGGAAAGTTGAGGACGTCAAACAATTGAGATCATTGATAAGATTTCAGGGTCAGAGTGTAATAATTTAGTGTCAAGCACTAGAATTGTTAAAGTTGTTTTAAGTTTCCAAGAAACTATCCCATTTCCAAGAATTATCTTCCCTCAAGTCTCCTCTCTTCCCTCACCCATTTTTTTTTTTCAAAATTTTCATTTTGTGTTTCATTATTATTATTATTATTATTTGTTGGTTTTATCTTATCATTTTATTTTCTCTTAGTTTGTTAACTTGCTCATTTTTCAGCATTACCAATTTATGATAAGTTTTAACATCTTTTCCTATCTTTCCAAAATGAAATTTTAAATTTATACATGAAAAAAATGTTAGGGGTTCAAAATTTTTGGATTAAGTTTTTATGTTAATTTTGTAGTACTTAGTTCAAATTTTTATATTATTATTATTCAATTATTAAATAGTATGTAATTTTGCGACATAAAGTATGGATGGGAAAAAAATTGGTAATAAGGCTTATTAAGTATTATAAGTAAATATTTAAAACTAATGATAGATGCAAAGGACGGTATAAATTGATAACTTAATTTGCAAAAATGAATTTAAATGAGTTTACAAAAAGTTAAAATAAATGGATAATTGGATTACCCAATTCATTTTTTGACTTACCCATTTATACCCATCTAATTAAATGAGTATAAATGAGTTGACAACCATTTATATCCATTACCCATTTTATCCAACAAAAACCCGCCTAAATCAATCATTTTCACGCCACTAATTCCAACTATATATATACATTGGCTTACTATTGACAATCAGTCAGAACAGTCCGTTCTGTCACTTGTTCTCTATGAGCCACACAGTAGAACAACATTTGCTACAAAATTTCAATAGCATCTAAACTGGTTTTTTTTTTTGGAGATAAAAATCAATAGCATCTAAACTCAATATGATTATTGCAGGTTGCAATACGTGCCGAATTTATAGGGTATGGAAGAGCATCACAAAAGTTGTTTAGGTTTTACTACCTTTATGTGGGTTTCGCTCTTCTGGCCTTCTTACGGGGTCTGCTTCCATATTCTGGCAAATCATCAGCAATCCACTGAAGGCCTGCATTGAGTACGAAGAAGATGGCTTAAATCTTTGAATATCCAAGATAGGAGAAGGACCATGCTCATTATGTAATTCCAGAGTATGGGGCTAAGAAAGTAAATAGGTTCCTTAAATTTCAAGGCTTCAATAATTTAGTTTACTAGAATTAATGTCAGTTCTCTAAATAATAAATGTTTTATTATTAAACCAACAAGACTAAATTTATTTTTCAATTGATAATTGGTCCAATCACTGTTGTTTAATTTCTACTACGGGTGTTATCAATTTTAATCAAGCCAAAAACAAAAAAGGCCTAATCCAGCCGAATACTAGTGTTCAAGTTTGTTTGTTAATTTTAATGAATTTGACATTATGTTTAAGTTTGGCTTGTTAATCGATCAAGTCGAATTCAACAAATTTTTATCGAGTCAAACTTGAGTTGAATTCAAATTGCTTGAATATTTTATATGTAAATCTCAAGCACTATGGTGATTGAGTGAAGTTTGAATCGAATTTGAAAATTTACTGAATCAAATTGCTGCTCATATTTGGTCTGATTAGTTGATGAACTAAAATTGAGCGAACTTTATTTGAGTTGAGCTTGATTTGTGTATTGGGTAATTTGAATTAACTTTTAATCTTAATTTTTGCAGAAATTTAGAACAAATTATACTTCTCTCAGTCTAGTTAAATTCTATTTTGTCATATGCACTTCGAGGTAAATGTTGTCTCCTAATAAATACACATACACACACATGTACATGTGCACGCACACCAAAATATAGCATGTGAAAGTGCATTATCACAAGGTTCTTGGGAGTGTAATTCCACATCTTTGAAATGGAAACAGACTGCATATTCCATATGTTGGATTATACTTGAGACTAATATTAATAGACTTCAATACTTTCCTCTCAAAACAACTTATAATACATTGCAATTGCTTTTTTATATCTACTTTATACATTAGATCATATGGCACTTTGAATCACATCACAAAGTTGGTTCCATTTACACAATTTTTTTATTTCCTTTGATTGGACAAGAAACCCTCAACCCCAACAATTCAAGGGTTCAAGAAAAAGATGTTAGAACTTAGAAGGGGTATGGTTGGCATAAAAAGAAACCGTATGGAGATAAACAAAAACACAAGGGCCCATCGCAACATAGTTAGAAGTTTTCCTACAACGCAGTTGAGTTGTCAACTTCTCCAGTTTCCAGATCCCCCTTTCACTGCCAACCAACGAAATAGAACACTGCCAGAAGTCCCACCACGAAGATTCGAGAATCTCGAAAACAGAACACCCCCTTACCCATCATAACAACCTTAACATTTCCTCAGCCCAAGAAAGAAAAATCATCCAACAGAATCAGTAATGGGAGCAGTTAGCAAACTCACAGATGCTGTACTGTTCCTCTTTTTCCTTACTATTGCCTTGGCAGCTCCTCTTATTGATGGACAGACAATTCTTCCTTCAGACCTTTATCCCGCCTTCTTGGTTGACTTGAAAAGTTGGTATGCCACAGAATTTGGGGATTATTTGGTTGCCGAGAAGCCACATTTCTTTGTGGGCCTTGTTTGGCTTGAGCTGGTGTTCCAATGGCCTCTTGCTTTGATTTGTCTTTATGGGCTTGTGGCTTCAAAACCTTGGCTGAACACAACCTGTTTGATATATGGATCATCAGTTTCAACTGCAATGGTAAGCTCTTAGATGTATGCTTTTGGTGAATGTTGGCTTACTTTTTTTTGTTTTTCATATGAGAATTATATTTTGCTAAGCTTTTTAATCATAAAAAAATGAATTGATCTGAATGGGATCTGTTATATCACTTCAGAAGGGTTGTTAAATTGAATGCCAATGTGTTATGGGATCAGGAAATGCTTAGATAATCTTGAGAGATGTCATAGTTCAAGGAACAAACTCATTGCAGAGGATATCTTGACTGGCTGACGATTTCACGTTCTGATTGGATCTTCAAGAAAGATGGAGTTTTTACGTTTGAACAATGACAAAGGAACAATTTGGTTCACTTTGAGTCTGATTTGCTTTCAGTAGCCAAAATTAGACTCTTATTGTAGAGTGATATTAGCAGTGAATGAATTTAGTAGCAAAGCTATAAATGTTGGTATTGTGAATCTATTCTTGAGATTTTAATCTGATTTGAAACTTTCTGTGACTTGAAATTTTGAGACGAGGTCCTGCATTCTTGATCTTCTTGGAATCTTAAGCTACATAAGTCAAGACTTGTATTCAATCAATTTTGGAAGTTCGCCAGGCATTATGTTCTTAGTGGCTCTAGTAGTTAATAATAGATAGCCCAAAAGTATTCTGAGCAAGATTATTGAGTGAGTAGGGAACACTGAGTTTCATCCCTGTGGGCATCTTGAGAAACTTTGGAAGCACGGGCTGGCTATTTAGTGCTAATTTTCATCTCCAAAGCTTTCTTGCTTCTCCGTTTTAGTAAAGTCTTCCTCAAGAAGCAAGAAAACAATTTAATTATGTACATTTACATACTTAGGTATGTGTGTGTATGTGCACGTGAATATGCAAAAGTAATACTTTCACTGCATGTATGTACATAGGAATCAATCTCAAGCCAAATTTAATTTTTAATTTTTAATTTTTTTAATTCAACGAAATAGTTAATGTGCGTTCAGGCCAGCAGTTGTGGCCAGTTGACCCTTGTCCAAACTAGGGGCTTTTGCCACATTTGGAGCATGATTTTAGCTTTTACTTTTGGATAAATGATCTCTCTTTAGCATTTTTTGGTTTTTCTGATTTTGGATATAGTTTAGCAATATGCTCAAGCTCTTTGGAAGCACTGTGAAGAGATTATAGCTATGGGTATGCTTCTCTCTATGTATGCTAACTTTCTAGTTGCTTTTCTTATTGTTGCCGTACTACCAAAGTCATTCTTCCTCCTCCTTATTCCAGGCGGATGGGTGTGGCAGGGGAGCGGAGGACTGGGGTGGGGAGGGGAAGGTTAAGGAAGTCAAGGGTGGGATTGAACTCAGACCTATGACCGATGTAGATGTAGACAGACCATTCTTGAGGTCATGGAGATTTCTGGTTGTGATGTCTCATCTCTGAGATAAATTTCTATCAAATGTCATAAGCAATGCTATAGCATGCTTGTGTGAAAAAGATTTTTTTTTATTTTTTTATTTCAAGACATGTTGAAGAGATCAGGAGCTCGAGTTAGGGTCTCAATAAGTTCCCCGTCAAATACATCTTTTGCGCACAGGCTGTGGCTAAACCCTTCTCTCCTATTTATCTGTCCTAATTTTTGAGGGAGATGAGAAAACTTGCTTGCGATGACATTGAGCACAATTAGACAACCTATCTTTCCTGTTCCATTTTCTGATGAATTTCATGCAATGCAGGTTGTGATACTGGCAGAATTAACAGCATCTGGGAAGGCGTCTGATACACTGATAAGGATTTACTCACCATTTTTGGGTCTATCTGTTCTAGCCATTTTACGTGGTCTGCTGTCGCATCCGGGCAAATCTTCTGCAACGGGCAAAAGACCTGTAACCAATAGGAAGAAGAGGGTTTAAATTCTTTGTAGTTCGAAGTTGTCTAGGTTTGTTCAATTTGGTCTAGAGTTTGCTGCAAACTGTTTTTCTGCACAATTTTGCGTGTCCTATAAGATGACTTCTATGCATTTTTGAAGTTTTCATGTGTACCACCTATCAGTTCACAAAATCTATGCACAAACTATGATGAGATTGAGATAAGCCACCACAAAAAGTAGCTGAAATTTTTGGTTTTCGCAAAAAACATTGGAAAAGGCAGGTCCCCAGCAAGTTGCTCAGAAATGTTTGCTTAACTGGTTTGTGCTTGTAAAGGTGCAACTACGTTCTTGAATTCAAGTTTCTTTGCTCTGGAAAGCAGTTTCATAAAATGCTGAATAATCACTAAGGCCCAACTGTCGTGACTTTAATAATCTCTGACCCTAATGGATTGCAGTTGCAGGCTAAACTGAAGTAAACTGAACCAGCATTCAAAATGATTCAACAATGAGAGGACCAGGATTCCTAGCCCATATGAATATGATGTCAAATACTCTTT